AATTAAAATTTTCTTTTAATTGTAGAGATGAGGTCTCGCCAAGTTGCCCAGGCTGGTCTCAAACCCATGGACTCAGGCAATCCTCTCACCTCAGCGTCCCAAGGTGCTGGGATTATAGGTGTGAGCCACCACGCCTGGCCTGAGAAGCATTTTCACATCACATGCTCCAGGGAACACTGGTTAAGGCTGGGAAGCATTGTCTACTGTATCCCCTTCCTGGAGGGTTTATAACCATATCTGAAAAGTTCTGCCAAAATAGATAAACTTATTTAACTTTTTTTTATTAATCATCTCTTCAACTTGCTGGATCATAAAACTCACTTTTTAACCTGTTGACATCTTACAAAACTAAGTGTTATTGGTTTAGATTTTTTATATGTATTGTACTTTATGTTTTTGTCTTTTAGTAATTATGTGTTGAAGTTTCCCATTATTTAGATTGGCATGTGCAGCGTGCACTGTGGGTTGCATTAAAGCTCTTGTCTGAGGGAACAAGTGGGGACTAAAACTTAGGATATCACAAAAAACTACACACTAATATCTTTTTTTTTAATTTTTTATTTTTGAGTCGGAGTGTCACTCTGTCGCCCAGGCTGGAGTGTAGTGGCACGCTCACATGGCCACCGCAGGCTCGACCTGCTGAACTCAGGAGATTCTTCTAAGTAGCTAGAACTTTAGGCGTGTGCCACCACATCTGGCTAATTTATCAATAGGATAAAGGCCAAAAGCCATATAGTCATCTCAGTAGGTATAGGAAAAGTGCTTGAAAAAAATCCTAAGCCAGGTGTGGTGGCTCACGTCTTTAACCCCAGCACTTTGGAAGGAGGAGGCGAGAGGATTGCTTGAGTCCAGGGGTTCAAGACTAGCCTTGGCAACTTGTGAGCCCTTGTCTCTACAGCTGGGCATGGTGCACCTGTAGTTCCAGCTACTTGGAAGGGTGAGGCAGAAGGATTGTCTGAGCCCAGCAAGTCAAGGCTGCAGTGGCTGTGAGCATGCTACTGCACCCCATTCTGGCTGATAGAGTGAGACTTCGACTCAAAAAAAAATTCTATATTCTTTCAGGATGAAAACACTCAACAAATTAGGAATAGAAGGACATTTCTTATATTTGATAAAGGACATTTATGGAACCCACATGCATTTATTTTCCTGTCCTTTATTTTGAACTTTTCCATGTATTATGATTATAAGAGTATCTCTTATAAACACAGTTGGTGTTTGGTTTTTTAAAAAGTCTTATGTCTATGCTTTTCCTTTTATTGTGGAAAAAAAGAATAATTTACATAGATTAATATATACCATTTTCACCATTTTTAAGTTTATAGATCAGTACATTCACATGTGTAATGCTGGGATTACAGGCGTGAGCCACCACACCTGATCTGTATTTGTCCTCATTTTAAGAATTATTTATTGTTCGTGACCTGCCTGGGCAGCGAGACCTCATCTCTATAATAAATCAAAAAATCAGCCAGGCGTGGTAGCGCATGCCTGTAATTCTGGCTACTCGGATGGCTGAGGCGGAAGGATCGCCGGAGCCCGCTCAGCAGGCAAGGCTGCGGTGGCTGGGAGCAGCCACTGCACTCCAGTCTGGGCGACAGAGTGAGACTCCAACTCAAAAAAAAAAGAATTATTTATTAACATTTTTTAAAAAGATAGGAGTCTTGCTATGTTGCCTGAGTTGGTCTTGAACTCATGGCATCAAACGATCTTCCTGCTTTGGTCTCCCAAAGAGCTGGGATTACAGGAGTGAGCCACCATGCCCAGCTTATTTCAAAATTTTTAATAGCTTTATTGAGGTATAATTGACATAAAATACCTGCACATATTTAAAGTTAACAATTTAGTAAGTTGTCACATGTCTACACTATGAAACCATCTTCACAATCAAAATATAAAGGCCAGGCATGGTGGCTAACGCCTATAATCCCGGAACTTTGGGAGGCCGAGGTGAGAGAATTGCCTGAGCCCATGAGTTCACGAACAGCCTAGAGACTCCAACTCAGAAAACAAAATATAATATAGTATCCTTCATCTAAAAATTTTCTCATGCCCCTGTGTAAACCTTCCTCCTGTCCCGCTTTCTGCACCCCTTTCTTTTTTTTTTTTTTTTGAGTTGGAGTCTCACTCTGTCACTCAGACTGGAGTGCAATGGCCGTTCCTGGCCACCACAGCCTCGACCTGCTGGGCTCCAGTGATCCTTCCACCTCAGCCTTCCAAGTAGCTAGAACTACAGGTGTGCACTACCACGCCCAGCTATTTTTTTTTTTTTTTTGGAGATGAGGCCTTGCCAAGTTGCCCAGGCGGGTCTTGAACCTGCGGGCTCAGGCAATCCACTCACCTCAGCTTCCCAAAGCACTGGGATTACAGGCTGAGCCACCGAGCCCGGCTCCGCACCCCTTTCTTAGGCAACCGCTGATTTAATTTCTTTTTTTTTTTTTTTTGAGTTGGAGTCTTACTGTCCCCAAGACTAGAGTGCAGTGGTGGGCTCACGGCCACTACAGCCTCGAACTACTGTAGCAGGAATTATAGGCATGTGATACCACACCTGGCTCATTTTTCTTTTTTTCATTTATTGTAGATATGAGGTCTTGCCATGTTGCCCAGACTGGTCTCAAACTCATGGGCTCAGGCAATCCTTTCACCTCTGCCTCCCAAAGTGCTGGAATTACAGGCATGAGCCACCACGCCTGACTGATTTACTTTCTTTTTGCATTGGGAGTCTCACTCTGTTGTCTAGGCTGGGGTGCAGTGGCATGCTCATGGCTACCCCCATGTCAACTTGCTGAGCTCAGGCAGTCCTTCTGCCTCAGCCTTCCAAGTAGCTGGAACTACTTAGAAGGTCTTGCCAAGTTGCCCAGGCTGTTCTGGAACCCGTGGTCTCAGGCAGTCTTCCCACCTGGGCCTCCCAAAATGCTGGGATTATAGGCATGAGCCACCACGCCCGGCCGTGTATCTGGTGATGTCTTTTCAGAAACGTAGCTTGTACCTGTTGGATATGTGACTGAGGTTGTAAACATTTGTATTCTGGTAATTTCTAACAAGATGTGAATATAATAGGGTATAATTTGTCATAGGAGATTTCAAACCAAATCTTAGGTCTTTCAGTTAGTGTTTCATATGATGAGTACCTTGTCCTATTGAGGTATGGAGTACAGTATTCTTAGAAGTGGGAGTAAAACTTTAGGCCAAAGAAGATTAAGCTATTTTCAAGCACTGATTTTAAAAATAGCATTAGCTTCTCAGAGCTTTCAGAATGATTTAGACCAAGAGGTTTTAGTTCAGTGAGCATACTTTGCAGATTTGCAAAGAGTTTTACCTGCAAAATGAATTTTTGTCATTAGAGTTTTGCAGTGATACAAGAGAAATCCATAAGCCGTTTTTTGGGGGGGCGGGAGTCTCACTCTGTCACCCAGGCTGGAGGGCAGTGGCATACTCCCAGCCACCGCAGCCTCGATCTGGGCTCAGGTGGTCCTTCCATCTCAGCCTCCAAGTAACTGGAACTACAGGTGTGCACCACCATGCCTAGCTAATTTTTTTTTTTTAATTTATGGTAGAGACAAAGTCTCACTGAGTTGCCCAGGCTGGTCTGGTACCCCTGGGCTCAGGCATTCCCCTCGCCTGGACCTCCCAAAGTGCTGGGATTACAGGCTGAGCCACCGAGCCCGGCTCAAGGAAAACTTTTGATCCACCTGGTAAATTCATAAACTAATACTAAAACATTCAAATCTTTAAAGCAGTGAAAATGAAATTTATGTGTAAATGTTTTAATGGTAGTTTATGACAATTACAGGTAAAGATTCAAAAACTTGTTGAGTTTTCCTAGAAAGATCTATTCATCAGTATCTATTCAGAGTTTGAAATAATTTGTCTTTGTCATTTTGTTTATGTTTTGCTACTATATAATTAAAGTCTGGAAATGGTTTCAGGCAATGTCTAGTGGCCAAAGACTATTTTAAGATAGTCAGTGATCTTTTTCTCTTTTGTGAGGGCATTTTGTTGTACTGAACAATTTTTTAAAATATAGAATTTGGATTAATCAGTTGTCATAAGAGAGGAGAGAAATGGGGGGAAACAGTCTGGGAATAATTTTTTTTAATGTGCTTTGGGTGGGGGTAATGACTGGTGAAAAGATTAGTTTGGCTAGAGGAACTGGTATCAAAGAAAATGATCTAAATGGTTTATGGACTCTTCGGAAAACCTTAGAGGTTAGCTTCAGAGCAACATGAAAGGTTGTTTCTGTGTCTACAATGGCGTGGTTAACCTCTTTCTTATCAGACCCGGCTTTGCCATTCCCTTTATAAGAGTATCTTAGGCCAGGCTCCGTGGCTCAGCCTGTAATCCCAGCAATTTGGGAGGCTGAGGCAAGTGGATTGCCTGAGCCTGTGGTTTGAAACCTGCCTGGGCAACTTGGCGAGATCTCGTCTCTACAATAAATCAAAAACTAGCTGGGCGTGGTAGCACGCGTCTGTAGT